TCTTATAAAAATTGTAAGTGGAAAACTTTATTTAATTTTAGCAGATTAAAAACTGAAATCAAATATTTAGATAAAAAATATTTTCAGTCTTTTTTTAAACCTCTTTTCATTTTTTTTTCTCAAAGAATTCATCATTTGTTTAAAATGAATATTATTTTTGATAAAAAAATAATAGAAAAAGTCTTTTTTTCTAATTGTTAGGCACCTTGCAGCAAACATGCAATCATTTATATCATTTATTTGCCAATATATGGGGCATTAAACAAATAAATACCTCAAAAACCATAAATACAAAATAGTCATAATATATATATGTATATTGATTACTTACAACTTTACAAACAAGACAAGTAATTTTTCTGCAACTTTTTTAGGCTTTTTGAAAGTACAGAAAACTTATTGCAAAGGAATACCAATCATGCTTTAAAATAAATATAAAAATTTTGTAGAAAACATGAAAAGTTATTTCAAAAATGTTTTCAGAAAAGTTTTCAGAAAATTCTAAAGACTCTTTGGAAAATAAAATAAAATATATATTATAGCTTTTCGTATTTCACTGCACAGCTAATATTTTAGTAAGAAATAAAATATATAGATGAAATTAAAAAATGATACATATAATAATATTTCTGTAATAGATGATAACAGCGAAAAACAAATCAACAAAAAACAAATATTTTGTTCATTTATACATATTTCCATTTTCTGAATTTACACATATTAAGTACGTGTATTCATCCTTTTTTGTTAGTAGAGATTTGCTTTGGTTTCATGTAATCATCAGTATGGAATCCATCTAGAAAGTTCTAAATTTATGATGTTATGCAACTTAAAAAATATTCTTGAGTTTTACGAATTTTCGACAAATTTTTCAAATTACAATTTTTATAATGAATTTGAAACGGACACAAAGTCAACATACCACCATTAATAGTTCCACCTGAATATTTTTTGTAAGCTTCTTCAATAGATACACGACGCTTCATCATTTCTGAGAATGAAAATCGACGTTCTTGATTTTCACATTGATCTACAATAACTGCAACTTATTAAAAAGTATCTCAGAAACATTAATCTGTTTGTATATGCTCATTTTACCTTAAACTAAATTGCTTATTCCAACAAATCAGATAAACTTGACAAAAAATCTTGAATTGAATATAAAGCTTATAACAGGTATACGAGTTGGTATTTTAAAATTTCTATTCGGCGGATATAAGTCGACAGCAAACTTCTAGCTTATTTTTTTCAACCGTTTTTCAGTTTATGCTCATTTTTTGCTTTTTTTTTTACTACAATTCACTTAAAATTAAAATACTTTTCATTACGATTCATTTAAAATTAAAATGCGAGAAACATATAAGAACAAACATACCTGTCTTAACATTCGAACAAATTTTCGACATTATTATCCTTACTTTTCGTTAGTAATCTAAATTTAATAAATGTCAGGAGCAACTGACCTATTTACTTTATTTAGTAATGAATATAGCACTATTTGAGCAGACTATAATAACTGCATATAAAATCCCATAGCATAGAATTAGAACTTGATTACAACGTATTAGAAAATATGCACTAGCTTAAAAATACATGAATGAAGGCTTTAGTAGCAAGATTTCAAAAAGTTGGTATTTTTAAGAATTCAAATATGTATTTTTTAATTGGTCAAATTAAAACAGATAAGCCAAAAATAACATAAATAATCAAAATTGGCAAGGAGTTGAAAAAAAAGTCAGCACAATTAATAAAATTTGAAGAAAATTATTCGTTTTAAATAGCAAAACAATGGTTGATAAGGAAAAGAGTGAAACACGCAATAAAGATCAGAAACGAGACGAAAGCACGTTTCCAAGTTTCACACATAGTATTTATCGATAAGTATTACTGATGGTTTGTTGCTTTTTCAGATTTGTTACTTACTTGTTACTTAAACATGTGACAGATTAAAGTGGCTTCTAAATCAATTCTACTTACACTCATTCTTTGGAAAAGCAAATTGTAAATAATATTGGTAGAGTATACTTAATTTTTTATCCTCACTCATTATGCAAAGCTTTTTTTATCACTTGTTTTTGAAATAAAAAATATTTTCCGTTTTTAATTTGGTATTAATTTTTTGTTCAATTATTAATTATATTTAAATTTTGCTTGAGTTTTTAATTCAGTTATTTTCATTATCATTACATATTGCAAACTAATTATAAAAATTCAAGCAGAATTTTTGGAATGCTTTTAAAAATGCTTCTAACACTCAACAAATATAGATTCACATTTTTAATTAAAAATTAATTTAAATTTATATCATATCAAGCTAATAAGTAATATCAATATTTTATCAAGAATGTTCTCAAAAATTGTTCACTAACAAATGTTTGGAGAAAATACTTTAATATTTTTTGCAGTTAGCACTGAAACAATTAAAAAATGATTATTTGTATATCGTATTACTTTTAACAAAAATATAACAGATTCATTTCGGGAAAAAATACAGTTATGTAAAAGCAAACATGCTAAACATGCTTAAATTCTAGAAGAAAGCTAAATATTATTGTGGATAAGTTTCAAAAACAAAGCCCACTTAATTAATGCCTGAATAATTTAACTAATTAAAAGTAAGTGATCAAATAAGATATGACAGTAAGGTTGAAAAAGGCTAAAATTTAATGTTACTAGCGAGCAAAATTAAATTTTCATTGCATGTTACTTCAGTTCATAATCATAGGAAATTACTATATAAATATTCGGAAACTACTATAAATATTTGACAATGATGCATATTCTAATATTGATGTCAAATGACAAAATTAAGGAATCAAGGTATTAATTTATAATAAAACCATATCAAGTATACTTTCTTTTTATTCTAAATATCTGCGGTTGCTCAATTTTAATTACTCAGAGGATACTTCAAACTTTTTCTCATATAAAATATTGATAATGAAAAAAAAATTTTCTATTAACTAATTAGCTTTAGATTTATGAAATTTATATAAATTTAAAGCGTCGAAAGTTTTGCTTGCATGATCACTTGAAATCAATAAAACTATTTAATAATATGATATGTCATTCATTCATGCATTAAAGCAAATAATCAGTGAGTTGATAATCACCTGCTCAGAAAGCCACATGATCAATGAGTTTTTCACATTGTTGTTTTAAATAAAAAATTAACTGATTCAGTTTAAAATCATTTGCAATCAGTATGTGATTCTTGGAATTATTTTGAAATTATAAATTTTAAATTTTTCAAAAAAAAATTTTCTATCAGTCAATTAACTTTCATTTTGTGAATAAATAGTGAAAAAAATTGGCAGTAAAGTTAATTATTAGAATAAAATTTCAACTATGAACTACATACTATTTGACAGAGAATTCAAGCATTCTTTCCTTTCCCATAAAAAACAATCGCAAGCGCAAATATTTTTTGACCAAATGACACTTTGTCTTTAAAAATCTGGAATAAAAAAACTGTTTTTTAATGAGATAAAAATTAATTTAACTTCTTTAGTGATTACACAATGCTTTCCAAGGGTAAAATAGTTGCAGTCAATGCAAGCAAAATTATGTCAAGTATTTCAATTACTGGCGACTATCATAGATACCATCATTTAACTATCATCAACATACAAATCGTTACTACCAATGAATGTCTTAAAAAAAATAACTTTCTGCTTACAAAACAAAACAATTTTTAACCACAAAGTTATTGTTTTCTGAAAAGAATTGATAAATATTACTGTCGAAATTGGATTAATTTATTTTTTAATTTTTGAATTCTCCGAAAAAT